GATAGTGGACTGAGGTTCCCTTGTGCGCTCTTACATGTTATTGCCAAAAATGAAATTAATGTTAGAAAGAGATATTAACGTGTTTGATCTTTTAATACTTAGTATGAAAGATTCTCCGAGGGTGTAAATAAATTCTGGATATAAGTAAACGAAGAAATAAATGAATCCAAAATTAGAACGAAGAAGTTTGTGAACTAGATGAATTAATTAGTATTATATTTATATCCAAACTGATAAATTTTGATTCCTTTTCCTCATTATGAATAGAATGACTGTGATCACCATGTAAATAAGCAAATGGGAGCGTACGTAAGCGCTACCACTACTCGTTTTAAAAACCGACTCTTAGAAAGTGCAAAGGAAAGCATACCAAAACGCGTGGCAGAAATTGAATGACCTTATAGCATATGTGTTACCTGACGAAAGTAATTCAGATGGATTATTAAATGCTGATGCAAAGAAGGTAACATTGAATTTCTATTTAAGTCTATTTAGAAAAGATTTTAATTTTTCTTATACAGTATATGCAGGGTTATCGGCACACTCAATATTTCAAGTATATTATTATAATATCGTGACATGTCAGTTCAACAACTTTCTGAGAATAAAGTTGAAGAGGCTGCAGAAATGTTGTACGTTTTAAATTCCAGATCTTTTATAAACATTCGAATGTTTCCTTTTCTAAAATGTTCAGTAGTTCATTAGATCATATATTGTTTATTAAATCTTATATTTTCATTCGAACGAAATTCAACAAGCAGAATAATTGAACCGAATCACTAAAATTATTTTTGATACTATCAAAAATGAATTTGATCTCTATTATTTGTCGAATGCTGATGTTTTTCGATGTCATAAAATGGCAGAGGTATATTTGTTGGATCTGAAGCTGGCGGTAAATTTCCTGTATTTTATCTACTATTTATTTGTTTTTATTTCATTATTTTAAATTTGTTTTATTGATAATTTAAAGGGGGAAGTCATCTCAATCCAATGCTGGAAATTTGCAAGATTTTAATAGATCGTGGATATAATGTAAATTATTAATGAGAAAATTATTTTTTATCTCTATTTTTTTCTAATCTAATATATAATATTTTTTAAAAGATAACATTAGTAGCAAATCCTGGGAATTTTACGGCTACATCTACTTTATACCATTCGATTCCGCAAATAAGTCTTTCAGAACCTATTGACACTAATTCATCTCCAGAGTATAGAGAAATCTTTTTAACGAATATACTTATAAAAGTTTGGCCTATGGAAGAATAATGAATAATAATGAATATATAAGATACTTTAATAAATATTTGCAAGCTTATAATGAAACTAAGCCTGACTTATTTTTTTGCGACTATGTGACAAATGAGGCTTGTTTTGATCTAGCATGGAAATTAAAAAAGCCCGTTGTTGGATTTGTCAGTTATACTATGTGTATATATATATATTTACTTTTTATTGTGGATTGGTGTGGATATGAACACTAATTACTTATTGATTATTGTTGTCTTATTATTTTCCTATTCATTTATTCTAGATTTCACTGCATCACCTCCCTTTAGATCAGATCCAATATTTGGTTGTCATGTGAACATGGAGAATAGATCATTTTACGATCGGTTTAGATGCGCTGTAGTACAACCATTGCGACTTAGATGGTATTTTCGAAAAAATATAAATTATCTCAATGCTAGAAGAGCCAAAGTTGGTGTTAGCAAAAATTGTGACTACAGAGGAACAATAGCTGACACTTTATTTTTAGTCGATAATTTCTTTGGATTTGAGGTAAATTTACCTTTTAATTTTTTTATTAAAGTCTCTATAATTAATTCCATTGTTTTTCATTCAGGTCCCATCCGCTTGGTCTCCACTTCATCAAGAAATTGGT